TCAAAACTCTTCGGCAGAGATTGGAGCATAATATCAACCTGGGTTTCCCTGTCAATATAACCTCCCATAACCTCAAGCTCATTGAGCTGCGCCATAACCTTGAGGGCGTGCTCCCTAACGGTTGTGCCCTCGGCCATGAGCGTACTCATCAGAGCACTCAAAGCCTCTTGCCTAGTAGCCCTAGACTGATGTCCGAACAGATCCCTGAGATTGAGAAGTATATCTGCTGCAGTGTCCTTAGACTGATGCTGATGTTGAAGAACATTCGACATAGAAGCCAGAATGTAACACTTCGCCATCTCATCAGCCTTCTTCCACCGAGCATACTCCTCTTTCTCCTGCTCAGGAGCATCAGCCGCCGGCACCGCCAGGCAAGCATCAGTGATAGCAAACTTATAACCCTCAGCAGTCAACACTATGTCTAAGTTCCTCTTCCAATCAATGTAATTAGGACCAGTAAGCTGATTTTCTTTTAGACTGACAGACAACGGATTGAACGACATGATGAATATCCTGAGAATCATGCAAATAAATTTTACAGATTAAACACTTTTGAATTTAACCGTCAATATTGATATCCTCAAAACAATATTAACTTAAATTCACCGACATCTATTACACCTCGTGAGAATGCATGCTACGTGGGTCGCCTTACAAACTCGCATTTTGTAAGAGAAGGACTTTTCAAGGGCCCATTAATTTCCATAAGTCAAAACCAAATTCATGACAAACAAAATTAATAGTCGGTCTCCATTTGGCCATGCAATAAATCCAGCGACCCTGTGGTAGATAAATCGCATTGTAAGTGATTCCCATTTCTTGATTCTGAGGTTGTCAAAATTGATTACACGTCCCCCGTTGGGAGGCCCGTGTGCTCTCTTAAGACTCTCTAACCGTCTACATTTAGAAATTTGTCCTGGTAATTTCCTACAACCAATTTTAGCAATGTCACCCGTAGGGGAGCCCATTACCGCAATTAATTGATTTACCGACAAATTAGAAATTGAGGCCTTAGGAATTTTACAATTAACTTTAATTTAAAATCCCTTCTTAAACTTAGTATAATTTAATGAGGATTTTTAACTATTTATGCAATTCTAAATTAATCTATGTTAATGCAATAATTAATTAACATGCAATTCTAAATTAATCTATGTCAATGCATAATTTAATGGAATAATAAATTTAAATAAATAAATAAATAAATCCACTATTATGGCCATAAATATTGAGTCTCCTTAAACAAGGAAACTGTGACAGTTCTTTCCCTGTTCAACTGGAACTCCATTAAGCAGTAGAATCCTGGTTGATCTTGTACTGCTTGGACATCAAGACAAAAACACCAGCCACCTGCCGCCGCCACCAGCCACCGCCGGTTCGCCGACCGCCGCCACCGGTTAGCTGGAAAAAACGCCATTTTTTTTTTAATTCTTCGAGGCTCGTTGATCTCTTGTGATCTCCCAGTCATCAACACACGATCACAACACGAAAAATATAATTTACAAAATTACACAATTCGATCCTAGATCCAACGAATGGATGTACATGTTTTCTAAACAAATAATTAAATCTATCCGGTCAATCTCCGGGCGAATAATTTTTACAAACATTCATCCATAAATTCCTCGACATGCCCGAGGCTTTAAAAACAAATTTTAAACCATACATCACATTCAACAACATTAATCAAACACATAATCGGCCATAATAGGGGATTAACTATTTTCCTGCAAAACCGATTTATGCAAGTATAATCCAATATATGGTTACGCTTGAACAAATCTTGTCAAATAAAGCCGTAAAAATTCGAACTTTGTACAAAACGAATTAAATAGCAAACGTAAACCTGTGCGCAGCGGATCTAAAGGTTTGACGTAGAGAACTTACGGCTTAAAATTTATGTAGATCTGGCTGACCACGAACGGTTGACCGCAATTGATTGACCGCAAATCACGTCTTGGGTTGCACGAACAAGATCAGATCAAAACCGGATCAAACGGATGCAAACAGATCAAAACGAAATTTTGCTATATGGGAGCTTACGGCGGCGCGTGAGGGCGCGTGAGACGTCGGATTCCGGCGATCCCAGCGGCGGTAGAAACCACTCGTCGAGACTGTCGTCTGGGTATGCTGTACGTCTCAATCGGACTTCCGGTTAGTTCTGTAGGTCAAAATATATTTCGTCTCGGTTTACCTACAGATCTTCTACTGTATTACTCAATACACCCTTCTTCAACTTGTACCAGTGGAGCAACAAGAAGAAGATAAAGCTCGAATGAGATCTAGAGAGAGAGAGCCGTGGGGCGTCTGTTTGTATAATGACAGATGTCTTCTCTTCTCATGAGCTTAATGATGTATATATAGAGCTACAGTAGGGACCCTTAGGAGATTCTGTTTGTATAATGACAGATGTCTTCTCTTCTCATGAGCTTAATGATGTATATATAGAGATACAGTAGGGACCCTTAGGAGATTAGAAAAAGGGCTCCTTAATTAATTAGACTAACTGTGGGCCAAGCCCACTCCTCTAATTAATTAAATAATATTAATGGGCCACCAGCATTATATTATTGAACTCTCTTTTCCTAGCCCAAATTACATTTGAGACTCCAATAATAATTACTCAATTTACCTCCCCACGTTAATGTCCATTAATTAATTCGATTACTGACAATCAAGAATTAATTAATTTATTATTATTTCATCAAAGCTAGCGCTCGTTCATCACATTCTTATTATGCCGGAACTTAATCCACCTGCAGGGTTGTTGACGGGCGTTTCCGGTCAACGGTTAAAAAGATTAAATAATGAAGAGAGAATAAGGGAAAGACAAGGGAATACGGTTTAATTGCAGTTTATTGACAGATCGCTAGGTCGGCCTCTCGTACGAGGTCGGCACTTGCAATATCCTTACAAATTGTTACAGAGTAATTACGCGAGTTTTAGAGAGAGAAAGTAGAGAGATAGCTATTACAGTTGAGGTTCAACAACCCCAAAATAAATGAGAAGGGTTGCTATTTATAGTAGCCTTTAATGTGGCACTGTTCAGGTACTGTTCATCAGTCTTATCGTACAGTGTTCCTGCGAGACAGTCCGGCGCTTCCCTGACAGCATTAAATGCGATTTGAGGTTTTCCTCATCATTAGGTGACAGGCATTTAATGCTGACAGGCTTTATGTCTTAGCTAGGAGGAGTAGGCCCGCAGGCTATGATGTCCCATCCATTTAGCCAATGATTGCCCTCCAAGTGGCATTATTATACCATTATAGAGATCGGCATTCTCCGTTGTAGAGGCCCGCTCTGGGACCCCAAGTCGGCACCTCGGCGCCTTACTTTCATCTGTTCCCCTGGTTTTGGGGAATCTTTCTTTCAGTCCGTCATTTTTCAGCCCGGCACCCGTGGCGTCGTAATTGAAAATACCGAACTGACGAACGGTCTCATGGCGATGCCAGGGTCAAAAGGTTTTCCGGTCCAGATCGGCACTTTATGGGCGGACCGGGTCTCTGGTTCGGCTCTCGTAACTGTGGTCCGGTTCAGTCTCATGGGCGAACTCGGATGTCAACAAGGGTTTAGCATAACAATCCTTCATGAACTCACTCCGGGGACATCATCAAACTAACGCACATGGTGACCGTAAATATCCTAACAGCACATCCTATATATAATAATATTACCCAAAACGGTAGGAATATTAATCCAGCGAACTGAACCTCACCCATGTGAATCAAGGTAATATATATTATATATATCTGTCTGTTTAATATCTTACGGGTTAAGAGAACGTAGTAATTAACCGAGGCTTAGTTCATTTACGACGATCAGTATAAAATGAACTTCTCCTCTCTGAGATCCTGTTCAATACATAAATGTACTAGTGCAACTAATCAGTCAAGACAAACTGTACAGTTGACACTATAACCGTTCGGATGAGGTGTTCATGTCCATCTAGGTTGTGAACAACTGTTCTTGTTCGCAAGTAACTGATAGAGTGATCTTCGGTTCGCCCAATGACGACCCACCCTATCTAAGTGCAGAACAACAGAACGTAGAACTTGTTTAATCTAACACGATTTTCATTCATAAAGGGCAAATGTGTAATAACATGCAAAGCCAAATTTTCAGTATATAACACCAACATGATCACAATATTCCCTTGTTAGATGAAACCAAAGCGATTCATGTGCATCCTTATCGGTATGCTCATTTTCAGAAAACTGAGATTGAGAAGCAAGTTCGTGAGATGCTGGAATCGGGATTAATACGGCATAGTACGAGTCCTTTTTCTTCACCGGTACTACTTGCAAAGAAGAAGGATGGAACATGGAGATTTTGCACTAATTACCGGCTTTTAATGCGGCTACATAAAAGATCGTTTTCAAATTCCGAGCATTGATGACATGTTGGATGAGTTGGCGGGGTCCCGTTATTTTTCCAAATTGGATTTGCGAGCGGGATATCACCAAATACGAGTGGCAGAAGAGGATATTCACAAGACAGCATTCTGGACTCATCAAGGGCATTATGAATATTTGGTAATGCCTTTCGGTTTATGCAATGCATCGTCTACTTTTCATGCTATGAGTTCAATACTTCAGGACTACTTGCGAAAATTTGTGTTGGTGTTATTCGATGATATACTAGTGTATTCGAAGAATTGGGATGAACATGTGATGCATTTGAAAGTAGTTTTGTATATTTTGAAGGAGAATGAATTCCAGATAAAACCTTCGAAGTGTTCTTTTGGTCAAAAATCGGTGGAGTACTTGGGTCACATCATATCCTTTGAAGGGGTGGATTTAAGGAAAATTCAGGCAATGCTAGAGTGGCCTAAACCGAAGAATTTGTCAGAACTACAAGGATTTTTGGGTTTGACCGGATATTATCGAAAGTTTGTCAAAGACTTCGGATCGATTGCTAAACCATTGACCGAGATGACGAAAAAGTGAGGATTTAAATGATCAACTACAAGTGAGGAGGCATTCGAAAATCTTAAGAGGGCTATGTCAACGACTCCGGTGTTGGCAATGCCTAACTTTGATATGATGTTTGAAGTTCATACGGATGCCAGTGATGTGGGAATTGGAGCCGTTCTTACACAAGAAGATCGACCAATTGCCTATATAAGCAAGGCCTTGGGGAGTGTACGAGTGGGATGGTCGGTCTACGTAAAAGAATTGCTAACTGTGGTAGAAGTGGTTCGGGTTTGGAGGCATTACCTTTTGGGCCGACATTTTCGAATTGTGACGGACCAACAGCCACTTAAGCATCTATTGGAGCAACGAACAGTAACTCCGGAGCAACAAAAGTTCGTGTCGAAGCTCATGGGATGACTTCGAGATTTGTTATAGACCGGGTCGACAAAATTCGGTGGCGGATGCACTATCTCGTCGTACCGATGTGGCAGAACTTCAAGCTATTTCCGGACCAACATGGGCTATATGGGATCAATTACGAGAGGCAAATGTACAAGAGGCCTTTTGTAATGATGTTCGTAGGAAAATGGAAGCTCAAGAAGAGGAGGTTCAAGATTATGATGTCTATAGCGGCTTGCTACTATATAAGGGTCGGGTGTATGTACCCGAAACTGATCGGTTGAGGCATGAGATTGTTCAATACTTTCATGAAGCTAAGATTGGGGGACATTCAAGAGTTTATCTTACTTGGGCGAGGCTAGAAAATACCTTCTATTGGCCTGGGGTGAAGAATGAAGTTCGAGATTTGTAGCAAACTGTGACGTTTGCCAAAAAGTGAAGTCGGATTCCAGGAAACCAAGTGGACTCTTGCAACCTTTGCCGGTACCCGAAAGGATATGGGAAGATGTAACTATGGACTTCATTGAAGGACTGCCTATGTCTAACGGATTCAACGGGATCATGGTGGTAGTGGATCGACTTACCAAGTATGCACATTTCATTCCTATTACTCATCCATATACAGCTAAGTCCATAGCTAGATTATTTGTTGAGTATGTGGTGAAGTTGCATGGAATGCCACGGTCCATTATATTTGATAGGGATCGTATATTCATGAGTAGTTTTTGGAAGGAGTTCTTTAAAATGCAGGGTGTTGAATTTGCCATGAGTTCAGCATATCATCCCCAAACGGAAGCCAAACCAAGGTAACCAATCGCATCCTTGAACAATACCTTAGATGCTATGTTCATGACTTTCCAAAAAAGTGAGAAGGATTCTTGCCGTGGTCTGAATTTTGGTATAACATGACTTATCATGCTTCGACTAAGTTTACTCCTCTTGAGTTGGTCTATGAATGGGTGGCCTCTACATTGGTTAGTTACCAGTTGGGAAAATCACCGAATGATGAAGTCGATCGTGAGCTAACCGAACGAGATATGATGATTCGAGAGCTCAAAAATAATTTGTGCGGGTCAATCAACCGAATGAAAGAGTACTATGATAAGGGCAGAAGAGAAGAACGATTCGAACCGGGTGATTGAGTTTATTTGAAGCTTCGACCTTATCGTCAACAGACGATATCTCAAAAGGCTCTATTCAAGTTAGGAAGTCGTTTCTACGGTCCATATCAAATCGTAGAACGCGTGGATGAAGTGTCCTATCGACTTGATCTACCGGTAGAAGCTCAAATTCATCCGGTAATTCACGTGTCCAAACTAAAGAGAAGCTTGAGTGGAAGTCATGAAGTTTAAACGAGATTATCGGTGGTAAATCTTGAAGGCACCATGATTATACGTCCAGCACATGCATTGGATTATCGGAGAGTTAAGAAAGTTGGTCGTTTTCATTGGGAAGTCTTGCTTGAGTGGGACGGGTTGCCGAAAGAGGAATCGACTTGGAAAAACTTACATGACATGCGAGTTCAATTTCTGGATTTTGTCCTTGAGGACAAGGACACTCTTGAAGGGGACGGGAATGATGCAAATGAGGGTCGTCAACTGAAGAATGCATACAATAGGGCTCGAAGGGCGAAGATGAAGGAGCAAAAAGATGCTGCCCAGGTCCAGGTGTTAGCAGCGCTAAGATCTGATTGACAAGCGCCGTTATTCCGCTTAGCAACTACTGGGGCGAACAGCTAACCCGGGTTAGCGCCACTAACCCTCCTTAGCGGCGCTAAGGTCTGAGCGGGAGCAGTTTTCATTTCAGTTTCTTTTTCGTTTTCAATTTGGTTTGGATAGTTTGTAGGGTTATTTTAGGTCGTTTTTTTCAGATTGTAAGGGGAACTTTTTATCATTTTTATCAAATATATCTTAGAAAAAGCTCGTTTTCGAGCACCAATCCATGTCAAGATCAAGGCCATAGTGCGGGTTTTGATATAAAATACTCAATTTGATACACGATTCGTAACACCAGGCCCAGACACAATTTGGACCTGGGATTCCTTGGCCTGAGATATGAGCCAAATTCCCAACATTTCTCTACTGATTTGGCCCACCACTGAATATCGGATAGATCGAAGGAAGTCAGAGAACTATCATCATTGCTTAACGACACCTATATTTTTCAGAAAGTTAGTACCAACATCAAACAAGTAGCAAACACACATTAAGCCACCCACACTACAGAAAAAAATGTTATATTCCAACGGAAATCCTATGACAATTTATTCCAATGAAAATTCCAACGGATATTCCAATGGTATAGCTTCCATTGGAATCATTCCAACGAAAATATTTTGTTGGAATGTGTTTTTTATTGGAATTTTAGATAGAATCTGATGATTCCAACAACTATATTTCTAACGGCTTTTTACAGTAGAAATTTCCGTTGCAATATGCAATTTCCGTTGGAATTTTTATTTCACCCCCGTTGGAAAATCTACCGGTACAATCGTCAAAATTCAACGGAAATTGCAATGGAAAACTCGTTCCAACAGAACATTTCTGTTGGAATTTCCGTTGGAAACCATTGAAAAATTTAAACGAAAATAATAGCATTGAAAAATATCCATTGGAATTATCATTGAAATATTATTTGAATATATTTTCGTTGGAATTTCATCATTTCCTAGTAGTGCCAAGCACACAACAACAAATAACATATCAATCACAAGTGTCAAATTTTATCTATATCATATTTTTCAATATGTATCAATAATTTACATGTTCTATCCTCTTATTCTTTTTATGCCTATAAATAATTACATATTTGAACTCATTTTGCTGCCAACTAANTAATTTTAATTTAAGTATTATTTTATCTAATAATGTTATTTGTATTTTCAGCATTTAAAATTAATTATTCTAATTAAAAACTATATTTATTTTTATCAAGAATAGAATATAAAAATAATACTGAATGAGTGGGTAATGAGTCTCATATGTTTGCCTTTAAATAAATTAACCAATGTGGGTGTGTGCTTAAATAGAGAGAATATTGAGTGGAAAGATGATGCATACATGATGTAGATGAAAGATGGTGTAAATTGTGATTGAAGGAAAGGAAATGCTACATTTTCAACCTTATGTACAACTAGGTTGACAACACAAGTGGAAACATCCACTTGTATATTTTTTATTTTAATTTTTTAAATATTTTCACTAGTGTTGTCAACCTAGTTGTACATTTAGTCTAATTTTTTAAAATTAGACTCAATGCATTGTGGGTGCTCTAACGGACTACGGGATCCACGCTCAGAGGACGGGACTAATCCACCCAGGAAAGTAGCAGTACCCCATACACTACTCCCACGATAGTCAGGATCGAACCTCTGACCTCTGGCATCAACATAAGCTTATCCTCAACCACTCAACCAGAAGCTTTTTCTCATTTTTGCATAAGTCAGTCTTAAAATTGAAAATTTCCGGCGTTGGTATATTAAGACATCTATATGAAAATGAAATTTAAAAAAATAATAATAATAAAATCTATATATATATAAAGAGGTTGTTGGAAAAATACATTAATAGAAAGTTTGACCAAATAAATATAATGTTTGACTTACTATTAATGGAAAGTTCAAAAAAATACATGTGAATCTTTAGTAACAAAATCTGAATCCTATTTTTTGGTAACTAATTTGGAGATTCTTATGGCAAAATTTGAATTCCATTTGTTTCATATCATATTTTATTTTTTTTTGCCAAAATTTAAATCATATATTTTTTGGTAATAAATTTGGAGATTCTTATGCAAAAGATGTGTCAATTATTTATGAAAACAATACTAAATACTAATTAACTTAAAAACCGTACAAATTGGATACAAATTTTGGAAACAAATAGTTGTATAATTATTAACCAATTCTTCCAATCTTATTGAATAATTTTTTCTTTAATAAAAAGTGTGTAAATTGGATAAAACCACGTGCAATTTTTATTTTAGAATAAAACTGATATTTGGACGGGATGTACATTCACAATTCTGTCCACATCTTTTGGTAACAAAAGCGGTTCATTTTTTATATATAAAAATTAAAAAAATCTTAAAATATCCTTAAATATTTAACTTATTTGAGATCAAGATTTGTTAGGTCTTTTTAAGATTAGTTATGATTTAAAAGAAAAAAACATTATACAAAATTTCACTCTTAATCTCACATTCACGCTTAAGATTTCATAGTATTCCTCTAAAATTTGATCATCTTAAAAGTCTCAAATCTTAAAAAATCTCAAAATGGCACTCAAAATTCTAAACGAATACATATTATATGTCTATATCGTTAATTTATAATTATTATTTAATATTATTTATCCGTGCCACGGTCCACATACTAGTAAAGATAATAAATTGGCATTGTAATGGGCCAAGGGGCCATTCTCTTCTCCCTGGAAAGAAGCGTAAGAAAGCCCAGAAAAATCCAATAATTCAGTTGAGCCAGATAAAAAATGTCATTTACGGTTTTCTCCCCCATTCTCTTTTCTTCTCCAAGTTCACATTCACTTTATTTCTATTTATATAAGGCCGCAGTCCAAGTGCAATGCCTCGGCTTCAATTGTAAAATAATTGAGCACATTAAAATTTTATTTTTTATATATGGATTCCAAAAGCTTCCTAAAAATTATAGCTCTTCTGGGCTTTCTCTCACTACCTCACCAAGCTTTCGGCTCAAGCCGCCGCCTCTCTCTTCTCCCGGACGGCGATGATGCGGCGCCGGACGGAGTTTGCTCCGCCGCCATCACCGTACATGGCTACAAGTGCCAAGAATATGATGTAAGAATCCCGATTGAAAGAAGAATTTTTAATTATTCGCACCACAGTTTCACAAACTAATTGTAACATTTGAATTGACGGAAATTTTGATTATTGACAATATGTGTCTCCAGGTGACGACTGATGATGGATACATACTAAGCGTGCAAAGGATTCCTCAGGGCCGGGCCGGAAGCCGAGGCCCGAACCGGACTCCGGTTCTGCTCCAACATGGTGTCCTTGTGGTAAGTATTTTTTTTTTTTTTTGTTATAAATATAATATATTATATTCTTTATATTGCATATATATATGTGACTAATGTTGAGTATGGCCATGGGAATAATATATATTTTAAGAACATTGAAGTATTTTTTAGACAGTTCTAATGGATTCTCTCTTAAAAAATACACAATTAATTAAATACAAGTGATAGATATATACCTTAAAAAAACATTATAAACAAAAAGTGTGATATTTTTTTTAGTATAAACCCGCCTAATCGTGGTCAACTGATTCAAATAAGAACTTGTGAGTTATGAAAATCTGTGCTCAGTTTCAAGTATTTATGGTGTTGGTAGTATAGATCTGATCTGAGTAGAAAAAAAAAAAAAATAGTACTTACTTTTTAGGAGGATGTAAAACGAACCAAAATAGTACCATTTGCAATGATTTACCATGATTCTTGGTCCCTTTTTCGTTATTTTCTTTTATTTTTTAATGTGTAGTGTAATAACAGCTTTAGTTATACAATTTGTTTATTGTGGATTGTGGTGGACATTGCATTGTTTGTTAGAAGTAATAATTAATATCAAGTTATTAGTCAAATACTGGTCATTATTAATATTGGAAATGACTAGATCGCGAAATCTAATCATAATTATCCCACGAGGACCCTAGCTTGTGACGAATATTATTTGAAATAAATTAAAAATAATATTCTTTATATAAAAAAAAAAAAGGATAAGAAGATGAACTCAATTTTGACCGATTGCGTCACTAAATTCCAAACACGCAGCCCCAAGGAAAGAGTGGAGATATCCTGGAAAATGCCACAATTCCTCATTATGCCAATCCGAAGGGTTTCACGCATTTTTGCCTCAAAAATTATCTACTTATTAATTAATTAATTGATAGGGTCTCATTTTTATCTGTGCTTATTATTATATAGTATTGAAAAAATTCATGCAATAAGTCGCCTCGTCATTACAGCGTCGTTTGTCTGAATGCTTTAACGTGTTGGTGATCAAGTACAATAAGACACATTCCTGTCTGCTGCAATAGATAAACACAATTTTGTTTACTTTATATGTATTTTTGTTTTTATTAATATGCCTTTTGAATTGACCTCTTTATTGATTTTGGTTTAATGGAAAATATTAATGAGTGTTTATTATGCAGGACGGGATGACGTGGGTGTTAAATTCTCCAGAACAATCTCTAGCGATGATATTGGCTGATAATGGGTTCGATGTTTGGATTTCCAACATTAGAGGAACTCGGTTTAGCCGCCGCCATCTCCAACTTGAACCTCACGATCCTGTGAGAGAACATAATAATTTTTCTTTTATTATGACATCACAATCCTACTTACTGGTTTTCTTGTCAATTTTCTTTTTTTTCAAAAAAAAAAAAAGTGAAATATAGAAAAGATTAAGAGACAATTTGACGTACCTAGCTCTAATTAGTTACCATATCAATGACCGCATATATAGTCAGGTGTTAGTTATCAAACTAGCAACATTATTAGGAATTTTACGAAAATGAAATTTTATATATATATATATATAGATGTTATTATGATAATTGTATTATAGGTAAATTAATTTAACAAGATCATATATTCATATATAATATTGCATGACCATGGATAGGAATTCTGGGATTGGACATGGGACGACCTAGTGATCTACGACTTACCATCTGTAATCGATTTAGTCTTCAAAAAAACCGGTCAGAAAATTCACTACGTTGGCCACTCAATGGTAAATAATGAATTAACTTTTTTTATTCTTTACTAACTACACGAACAATATAGAATCCTAAGTAGATAATTTTTTTGGCCAGGGAACTTTGATAGCTTTGGCCTCATTCTCAGAGGGGAAACTGATAGACAAGGTTAAGTCGGCTGCTTTGTTGAGCCCAATTGCATATCTAAGTCATATGACTACTGCTCTAGGAAACATGGCCGCTAGAGCCTTTGTTGGTGAAGTAAGAATATACGATTTGTGCTCACTATTAAATGCATGTACTAAGTTTTTTATTATGAATTATTCTTTCTTAATTCTTCTACAATTGTTAAAGAATCTCTCTAAAACAAGAATTTGTACTTAACAGATCACTACTGCGTTTGGTCTAGCAGAATTCGACCCCAAAGGGTATGTGAGCAATACTTAATATTTTTTTTTTTTTCACTCTGCTTCGTATATAGTATGTTGTTCTTAAAGCTGATTAAATAATCAGTCTTTCTACAATTTGTTCATAGAAACTTATGTATGGTTTTATTTACATGTTTTCACAGGCAGCCGGTGGCTGATTTTCTGAATGCACTGTGTCTTACTTCTGGAATAGACTGCTACGACTTGATGAGCGCACTAACGGGTAATTAACTTTACAACAAGCTATTTTAATTTCTTCATTTTTTGGCTACACTAATTAAACATCTATCACTTGCAATATTTCATGTTGCTTGTTTGTGTGATGACAATTTTAGGAAAGAATTGTTGTCTCAATTCATCCACAGTCGACATTTTTCTCAAGAATGAACCTCAATCCACATCGACTAAGAACCTTGTTCATCTAGCTCAAAGTAAGTTATTCTCGTAATTCCCAAAAGACCCCTCTACTTTCTTGTAATTAGAATGAATCTTCCTATGTATCATTAAAAATTTTGCAGCGGTTAGAGATGGAGTCCTGTCCAAGTACGACTATGGCAACAAAGCGTTCAATTTGGAGCATTATGGTGAGTCGAGGCCTCCCGTTTACGACTTGACCAAAATACCCCCCAACTTTCCTCTCTTCTTGAGCTATGGAGGAGAAGACGCGTTATCGGACGTTAAGGACGTGGCCACATTGCTTGATGCTCTTAAGAATCATGACGTGGACAAGCTTCACGTGCAGTACATCAAGGATTATGCTCATGCCGACTTTATTATGGGGATAACTGCTAAGGACGTTGTTTATAATAAGGTTGTGGATTTTTTCAGAAAAAATCATTAGGTTCATTTCTTGGTTGATTCGGGAAGTCCTTGGGGTTCGGTCTTATGTACGGTGTTGGTTTTGCAGATCCTCTTACTTTGGGGTGAGAAAGTAGCATGTTTTGGTCATAAAGATGTGAACAAACCATTCCCAAAGATTTTTTTTTTATATACGTGGCACCATGTTTACAAGTATCAAAAACTTTTAAAGCTATACAATGAAAAAAAAAATGCTATTTGGATTGGATCTTCCATTACTAGAAATCGGTGTATTACTATCCAAAATTTGCAACAGAATTTTAATTGTTACGAAAATAACAATGCTTTAGATACGAAATAAACGGAATGTATTTTAAATAAGTGTATTGTATGAGTAACTAAATCTTGTAATTACTTACTCTATGTTACAAACAAACATAATATTTTGAGATGGTTATTATTAAACATTGATGCTCCAGGAAGATTCTAGGCTATAGTATCAAAAGATAATTATTAAGAGACTTCTTAAGCGTTCTAGAATCATGTATATAGCAATTAGCATCACCTTAATNCTAATAAACTACTCTATGCTTCACTACTACTCTGTTCCCAAAACCATATATTTAAATTTAAATCTTAATTTAATAAATATTGATTTTAGATACAACATTGATATCAAAACCGATTGGATCAATAGTTGGGTGAAATTATTTTTCATATCCTCCTATTTTCACATATTATCTCTAAATACCCTTCTAAATGGTCACTTCCCAAAATAACCATCAGATACCAATTCTCATTTTCTCTGACAAAAATTATAACTAGTGGTCTATCAAAATGAGAACATACTTTATGTCCCAAGGCCTATAGAATATTGTCGAAAACGGGTCTACCATCCCCGAATACATATCCACTTTGTCTACGGCGGAAAAAAAAAAATTAGACCAGGAGAAGGAGAAAGATAGTCTCCCTCTTCACACTACAAATGACAATGACGGAGTTCTATTCCCAAGAATATGTTGAGCACAAACATCAAAGGAGACTTGTGATACTCTAAAAGAAGAATATGAAGGCAGTGACAAGGTACTAAATCAATTAAAAGCATATGGAAAAAATATCACTGACAAAAGGGTAGTAGCGAAAATTCTAGTTACTCTACCAGCCAAATTCGATCCTATCATCACGACAACTGAAACTAAAGATTTGAATCATTTTTCAGTGACAGAATTAATAGGTTCACTTGAACCTATGAGAAAAGACTGAGTATGCATGAAAATGATATAGTCTACAATGCATTTAAGTCAAAACTAAATTTACGATCTCACAATTATAAAATTGGAGGGAGAAGATTTGGAGAAATAGCAAAACTAAACATCAAGATGAAAATAATAACAATCAACAAAAAGGGAAATATCCACCTTGCAGAGTTTGTTAAAAGACCAACTATCTCGAGAAGGACTGTTGGTACCAAGATGGTCGGAGAAAAATTGCCGCACCAAAAGACATCAAGCAAATTTTCTCTGAAGAAAGTGATAAAAGGAGAAAATTTGCTATTCTATGCAACACATGCAACATAAAAAGAGAAAAATGATATTTGGTTCTTAGATTGCGGCTGCAGCTAGGGCTGCAAACAAGCCTAGCAGAGTCGAGCATTGGCCTTATTGAGCATGATTGACTTTTTTTTTTGCTGCTCGAGCTCGACTCGAAATCAAAATGCTCGAGCTAGGCTCGAGTTCGGCTCGAAAATTTTTAAGTGAAAAGGTAAAATTACCATTAAGGACCTATGTTAATATATATATATATTAGGGGGTATTTTAGTAATTTATATGTATCTCGAGCCGCTCGACAAGGCAAAATATGGGCTCGAGCTCGACTCGAGTTCATGCTCGAGCCGCTCGAGCTTGACTCGAGTTCTGTCAAACTCGAGCTCGAGTCGAGCTTTGACTCGAGCGCTCGCGAGCCGCTCGGTTCGTTTGCAGCCCTAGCTGCAGCAACCATATAACCGGAGATGAGGAAAAATTGAAAGATATTGATAGATATGTAAAATCACAAGTTCGTTTGGGCAATGGAGATTTAGTAAAAGTTGAAGGCAAATGCTCAAATGAGGTCGAGACCTAAAAAAGTACTCGTCTCGTCGAAGATGTGCTGCTAGTACTCGACGTGCTGCTAGTACTAAAACTTGATACTAATTTATTCAGCATGGGACAAATGGTGGAAAGTGAATACACTAAAAGCCAACAAGCCATAACATTCAAAATACACAATTCTAATAAATAGTATCAACATAAACATTACAATACTTAATCAAATCCCTAATAACCAACAACATTGGACTTAAATCATCCTCAAGTGGCAAGCTTTTACCAATCTTAGTTGGATGAAAAAATGTGAAAAACTTAAAAAATGCTCTATTATCTCATAATTTTTAGTCTGGCAGTTTTCTGTAGAGAGAAAAAAAAATGTGAAAAAAAAAAAGTTATTTATCCAAACATTCCCGCCGTCGCCAGGGCACCTGCCACAGCTCAAGGTCAAGCTTAAACTCATGGCCGTCGCCACAGGCTTCTTCCCGCTTTCTTCACGCGCTGCGCTACCCTCGCTTACTCTCCCCACGTGCCGCGCTTCCTCTTCTCCCACATTATTGAAGCGTTTGCCGCCGCCGCCGCCGCCGCCGCCGCCGCCGCTATTGCTCCATCAAGAGCTTAATACGAGCCCTATTTCCACTTCATCCTGCGCTCTTCACTGCCCCCACTTTCAAACGTAGTTTCACTATTCCAGCCTCCTCTCGAATTTTCCGTCTTATTTCAACTCGTGTTATTTGATTGCCAGCTTAATTTTCCCTTTTTTTCCATTTCCGTATTGTTTAAAATTGCAGGTGTTCTGGTTGTACTCACGAGTACAACCTGCACGATCCGCCCATTCTAGATGAAGCGATTAAATTCTTCAACGGCATCGGTGTTTCTAATTTCACTTTCGACAGCTGTAGACTTGTAAGTTCACGCCATATCTAGTTTTTATTCTTTTGATGCTTTATAGTTTGTACAATTAGGCATTTTAGGAAAAAAGCTCTTTCCTTTTAACTTGTAGTGGGAATGGAGGTGTCGTGCGAAGCTTGCAGTTCGTGGATCATCTATGAGACCATTGATTGGTCTATATGAAGTTGGCACTCATAATGCAGTGGATATTCCGGAATGCAAAGGTCCCAAACTTTTGTATTTATTATTTAAATTTCCAGCTTTCCTTTTACAGATAACTGATAATATTTTCACAGCCCATCATCCGAGCATTAATGCTGCTGTTGACTTACTAAAGCAAGGTGGGGTGTTGATGCTGGCTTAGTTTAAATTTTCTTATATTCATTTCGTGAAAATGTGCTGCCACTAGTATATTTTTCTTATTTTTGTTTTATGCATTCCTTGTTATTATAGCAATGGCTGAACTGAATATTATACCATATGATGAAGACCTGGGCACTGGTGAACTAAGATATGTTCAGGTTAAGCAATTCGTGGATGCATAGACTTCATGGTTCATAATATTTAATTGGTTACGTGATTTTCAAAGTATATATGGTATTAAATTTCACATCCCAGGCCCTAAAAGGTAATAAGAAAAAAAAAAAAATCTATAGAGGTGTTTGATGAATTACTAATAGTTCATTGTATGTCAACAAACTGCACTTGTAGATGGCTGTGACGACATACAACACATCACTTCCTGCATCTGAAAGATACAAAAAAGGTTGGTAGATACTTAATGATGAAAGTTTCTTGGTTGAATTTCAAGTTTTTAAATTTCATGAACAATTACAGGTAAGGTGCAGGTTGCTTTGGTTTGGAATTCGAGAAATGAGAACTCTCCATCTTGTGACAAATTGAATGCGCTTGCCAATGTAAGATAACTGCATATGTTGTAATTGGTTCATTCTCGTGTATGGATCTTCTATGTGCATGTGTTTATGATGTTTTAGCTTGTAGTATATGTGGATCAAAGGGGGACCAAAGAACGATGTGCATTTGATCCATTCCGTTTGGGCTAACTTTCAGACATCAACAAATAATGTAAGACATATTGTAACCCTAAAGATCATTTTCTAATGAATTCTGCTTCTTCTTGTGTGTATGATTCTTCAAGGTTCAGTTGTTCTGTGACACAGGTTATTTTCGGTAACAGGTGGAGACATCTTTTTGGTGAGATAGACTTCTGGGAGCATGTTGGAGGAATTGATGTTTCCATGGTCCCTTCAAGCTTTGGGCAAGCAAATACAAGGGTCAGAAAATTCAAATTCTGCTTTTGGAAGTTCTTGTCCTGTTCTCAACCATGCTAAACAATCTTTATCCTGCTTATCTACTGTTGTGGCCGGCATTATAATTGGAGCCAAATTCAAAGATTTTATCTTTCTGGAGAACTCAATAATGTCCTTTAATGAATAGTTACAATTGCAGTTCCATAGAATTGATGTTTTTGACAGGCTTTCGATGCTCTGCTTCGTAAACTACAAAAGTATGTCCCTTTTGGTGCATCAGTGGTTGATCTTTATGCTGGTGCTGGTGTAATTGGCTTATCTTTGGCTGCCACAAGGAAATGCAGGTGGAAAACTGATGAATTTAGGTTTCTATTATCATCATTGATGTCAGACTCTGTACACAATAATAACATAATCCAATTCTTTTCACTAACAGGTCTGTGAAATGCGTGGAGGTGAACAAAGAATCAAAACATTCTTTTGAAAAGACAGCTTCTCGATTACCAACCAACACGGAGAGCAGCATCAGCTGGCATCATGCGGATGCTTCAAAAGTCAGTATAACATTTTGATTTGTATACCTTTCTCAATTTAAGCAAAGTAATGCCTATATTTAAGAAAAATTTGCAACTGTAGGCTCCTCCTTTTATGTAGATCTTGAAACAATTTGGAGAATATGAATTTTATTTAAGGAGATCATTACCATACTATATTGGTATTTCTGTCAGATTTGGACAGTTTTTATTTATTTATTTTTCTGTTAACCTGTAAACTTCTCCCAAGCAGGACCCACTTTCTTGGCTCATTGGATCTGATGTTGTGGTAGTTGATCCTCCACGGAAAGGACTAGACCCATCTCTGCTCAATGCTTTACAATCAGTTTCATTCATGAAAATCAAAGATATTTTACCTGAAAGGTGAGGCTGTTACTGAAAACCTTGACACATATTTTCATGGTTTATGGAATCAGTAGTTTTGTGTTTTTGCACTCACTTTTGCTTTGTTATTTCAGTACCCAGAGAAAGGTTAAACTTGAGAAAAGGCCATGGGTTCTTCGAGAAAGAGAAACTTCAGTTCACAGCAATAGCGGGATTGTGGAGAATGAGAGTCGTTCATTGCCTCAAACTCTAATATATATAAGCTGTGGATGGGATAGTTTCAAAGAGGCACGTTAAGCTCTCGTGTTAATCAAATAGTTTCATCGAAGGGCTTGTTTATTTTTCAACTTTTTCCTATTGTTCAATAGCTTTATCAAACTCACTTTTATTTTTAGCTTATAAACCTGCATTATGCATTGTACCTACAGGATTGCATGTCGTTGATCTCTAGTAAAGCATGGCATTTGGAGAAAGCCCACGGTTTTAACTTTTTTCCTGGAACACAGAGGTCCTCTCTCTCTCTCTCTCTCTCTCTACCCCCACCCCCACCCCCCAGCTGATACATACAGACAGTCGCTCAGACAGAGTGTTGTTGGCTAATTTGTTATATTTATTTTTTTATACATTAGTCATTGCTTTGTATCCACATGACTATTCAGAAAATGATATCCTGAAATTATGCAGCATTGAGATCCTGGCTGTTTTCAAAAAAGGACCAGCGGCAACCCTTAAGGGAAAGAAATCTAAAAAGAAAAGACCCAGTTAAAGCGCAAAATTATATCCGAAGATGCAAGATAGAGTTGCTGAGGATAAAGATTTTTAAGGATCTCTATCCGTTGTACTGTGAAATTTGACTGGACAAAAAGAATTTCGGTTTTCCATTTTCTGCAATTGCTCCATTGGACAATGTTGTGTATACTATATAGACTTAATCAAAGAGATTAGATGAATTTAACTGCTATGTCGTGTGATAGTGTCCGGTGACAGACAATATACAACTATAGACATTTATATTCTTATAAATCTGGACAAAAATGAATTTATTCAATAAACAAAGGATTTTGTGTTTTTCTGAAAAGTGGCAGTATATCGTGTTTGTGAAAATCAATGTCCCTTCTCACTTCCGGTGGACTTTCCCAGTTGAGGAAAGTCACTCAATATGTTGTGTGCTCTCAAGTCCTGCCTCGTCAAAATTCCCACAACGGGAGGCACCTATCAAACGGTCAAAACAACAGGTCAGTATTCTGTTTCTTTCTTTTAGCATTTTTTTATGCTTTCCCATCAGAGTTCAAATTTTC